TTATTCACTTCTTCAAAAGCAATTAGGAATTTAATCACAGTTTCTATGGATTTCTGGGGAAAATCTGTAATTAAATCTGCACAGTGCCCTTGCATGATAGGTTTAACTTTTCCACAGCAGTGCGGGAATACTTTTAGTATTCTCGTATCTCTGCATTAAAATTGGCCAGGCATGCCACAAACCCAGGACCCCACATTGCTTTCCTACATAGCTGAAAATCCATTCTAACAAGCCAGAATTGGAGGTTAGCCCTCTTGATCTAATCAAAGTTGTTCTCATAATGGACAGAGATGTTCCTTTCCATCATTATTTCACAGCACAGAGAGGAAAGGAAGAAAGCTCTCTCCCTCCTTGTGTGGGAAATGAGGCAGGCCTCCCTCCCAATAAAGCTGGCTTAAATCTGCCGTTAATTGAAAGCTTATCTTCTCTCTGAAAAAGGGAATGATGTTCATATAAAAAGGCAATGTAATAACTTAATAGCTCTGCTGGAGGTGACTTGTACGTGTGTGGGACAGATCGAGAAGGTTAAGAATTGTGGATGCTTAATTCCTGTTGGTTCAAATGTACGTCTAGGAATGAGAAGCAAAGAAAGAATATGGTCTTGCTGTCTTATTCCTGCTTGCATGGATGAGAAGAACTGTCACAATTGATCCAATGTCACTGACCCTCTCTTGGCTGTTACCGTATCAGCAGTCAAATGATGCATGAGGCAGGCATTCTCTGCTGGGCAGTTGAAGGAGGCTGGGTGCAAACGAGGCACGTTGCAAAATGAGAACACGGCTTCTGTGAGACTGCCAAATACCCCTTTCCAAGACAAGTCCTCTTCAAAATGGCTCCATTATTATGCCACAGACCACCTGCATTTTCTGTCCACAGCAGTTTTTCCTCATCACCCTTTCGCATGTGGCTAAGGGACAGGCGGAAGTATAGCTAGAACGACCCCAAAGAATTTAAGGAGCAACATTTTCCTTGCATAGAACTTACACTGAAGTAACTCCTGCCTTTTAAGCCCAGTCTCCTTCCAAATCTGATGCACCCAAAGAAAAGAGATGCATTGTTCCTGCCTGATGAATTGGATTGATACTTCCTTATCATGCCATCGGACTGTAAAATGTAAAACCTGGATCCAATCCAAAGTTCTTTCTCTTTGCTTTAGCATTTTGGGGAGCCTGAAGACAGATGGACTTGTTCATCCTAATGCTAATTCAGCAATGAAGCTGAATTCTGCATGAGAAACAGTGCAGGTAGGGATGGTGGTGGTGGTGGGGGAATTAAATTCAGTTTGCATTTAAAGGTGAACTGACTTAATTTCTGAAACAATCCACGAACTGGAACACAGCCATCCTAAGACATTCACACTTCTCCAAATTTTTTCAATGCTGTTCTCCAGCCTAGTAATGTGTACAAAAATGCACGTATATTATAGTAATTGTATCAATGTAGTAATTCTAGATGAGGCCCATGACAGGGAATGGGGCAGATAAGCACATTCTGGTCCGTTTAGGATGCTGTGTCGTGCTGAGGATTGCAGCCCCATGACATCCAAGAATGAACCTCTCCAGTCAAGACAGCACATGCTCTGTGGGTAGGGATGGGTAAACCTGTCAATTTCAGTTTCAATTTTAGTGTGCATTTCTCATATTATACACACGTTTGTATGCAATTTTCCACATATACACATTTTTGCAAAGCAATTTTCCCCAATAGAATGCATTTCTGTATGTTACTTGCATAGATATATGAATTTTTAATGTATGTTTTACTGCAGTATGTGCATTTTTGTACACAATATTTGACCGGAGAACTGAATTGCCAAATTGTGAAAAGCGGGGATTTCAATGGGTGGCTGTGTGTTGTTTCAGAAAGTGCAAATCAGGGAGGTTTGCCTTTAAATGCCAGCTGAACAAAATTCTCTCCCATCCTTATTCACACCTAGCTTCTGTTGTAAGCGCACAAAGCCAGTTTCCCCTGTGCTTGGTCTGGGAAAGGTTATACATCTGCACAGAAAGTGGGGACTGCAAAACGAGCTCACTATTCAAATTAAGTACCTCTGTATACCTTATAGTGAGAAAGAGCCTTAAGACTGACATTTCTGAGGCAAACTCATTTCCACAACACAGCCGATTAGAATGGCAGTGAATCATGCTAGCCGATAGGGCAGCCTGACAGAGCTGTTATGATTTCAAATCCAGGACTGTGGATCTTTCTTTTTCCATTCTGCCCTTTGCATTTTGTTTACACTCCTTCACTTTGCAAGATAATTCTGTTCCCTCCTTGGGTATTTATATCTCAGCACTGTGTGGGCTGCTATCTTCTCCCAATCTAATAATCTCCCTGATGAGCTCTACAGCAATATTTATCTCTCCTGATCTTCTCATCATAAATCAATTGCACTTGCCTTTTTAAATCTTTTCGGTGTATGGTGCTCCATTTGTTAGCTTCCACCAGCCTTTGATTGCGGAAGCACACCTATGAAATTGCAGATCCACATATCTCACCAACACCCCTCCTTAGCTGTTTGGCACTTCCGCTGGCAGGTTGTTTACCTCACTGTTGCCTGGCCTTGTGATAAGGATGGGAACCCAGGTGGTGCTGTGGTCTAAACCACTGAGCCTCTTGGGCTTGCTGATCAGAAGGTCGGCGGTTCAAATCCCTGCACTGGGGTGAGCTGCTGTTGCTCTGTCCCAACTCCTGACAACCTAGCAGTTTGAAAGCACACCAGCGCAAGTAGATAAATAGGTACCACTGCAGCGGAAAGGTAAATGGCGTTTCCGCTCACTCTGGCTTCCGTCACAGTGTCCCATTGCGCCAGAAGCAGTTTAGTCATGCTGGCCACATGACCTGGAAAGCTGTCTGTGGACAAACGCCGGCTCCCTCGGCCTGAAGCGAGATGAACACTGCAACCCCATAGTTGCCTTTGACTGGACTTAACCATCCAGGGGTCCTTTACCTTTTTTACCTAGTGATAAGGCAAACTGGATAATCCCATGCTGTCAAGGCAGCAAGGATCAAGCTAGCTGGGCAAGAGCTGGGCTAGCTTTAAAACAAGAGCAAGGAGGGTACCATGAAGGGGCAAGGGGTTGTTTAAACCCCCCCACCAGTGCATTTCCCTTCCAGCTTCCTCCAGCTGTTGCCCCCTAGATGGGATGCACTGATGTCTGTTTGCTACAAGCAATAGGCCGAAGGGGAAAACTGCCGCTTGACCATTGTCTCTTGCAAGTTACTCTACCCCCCCCCCGCCATGTTGCTTAGTAGCGAGCAGTTTCCAGGCCAGGGCTGCATCTGCCCCTGAATACTTGGATTTGCACATTAGAGATTAGGTTGAGAAGATGGGTCTACCTTTTGTTGCTCTTAGAACACTGCCTGCAAGGGATTGGTTTGAAGGAGTGTGGTTCCATTGCCTGTGTGTGACATCACTTCTCTTGTTCTTCAGGTGGAATTCTGACTTATCTTAGCAGAAGCTTTCGTTCCACGGACTGTTGGAGAACAATAACCTCCACTGCCTCCAACTTCTGTGCCCTCCTCTGACAGCCCGCAAGCTAATATACCTTTAAAAAACATTGGTTTGGTTTTGGAGAAAGAGATTCCCACCCCTGCCCCTCGCATCTCTCAGCAGAACAATTTGGCTTAAGAATTAATAGACTGATCACTCTTGGCAGCAAAGGTAATGACTATGGTCAAACTATATGGATAATGGTACCCATGTAATAAAAACGTGTTGTTGTTGTTTTTCAATGGTAATCGGCTTTAACAAGAAACTGAAAAGACCACTCTGTTGATGCTGAGACAAATCCCTTAAACAGTGACGCAGCATGATGGAGCTAGTTAATGTTATAGCACATGATTGTCTTTACTTTCTGCAATCAGCGTTTTATTCACAATTTTACAATAGGTGTAAATTTTTATCACTCGTTAGGCAAGCAGAAGAATGAACTGAACCTCAAGAAAAATCACTTAAGAATTGGCTTCAGTGATATAACAGAGCAATAACTGATCCAAGACCAACCATCTAGTGGGAGAAGAAAAAGTAAGTGACATATAAAATGCTAAAAGGTCAGATTTCTTCTTCTTTTTTTTTAAAGAAAGAAAGGAATCCACAAACAGGAACATATTGTACCATGTCAACAGAATGGCTGTGAGCTGAGCTTTAGAAAAATGACGGTTCATTATAAAAGCTTTAGAAGTGAGAAATAAAATGTTACATTCTGGATCGTCTTTGTAGGCTGTGAGCGGGGTGGGAAGAAGCCCATGACAGGAGCAACAGGAAATAAGTCTGATTAAGCATCATTCTTGCTATGTGAATGATAGAAGCAGAGGGAATTAGGCCTGGAATTTTGCTATGATGGACAGATTATGTGACCAGGAAAATGAAATAGTGAACATATTGAATCAACTGGACAGATTATAATAAATTTAAGCATGCTTTACTTAAGAATTAGCACTATTAAGCTCATCTGGAATTACATTCAACTAAACCTAATATGCAGGCGATAGTTGCAGATTAGCTGACATTTCTTTTCTTAATTAAACATGGTTGATTACCTGCAGGATATGGCATTGTTTTTGTGGGGATTTGAGGCTGTAGCAGGAGTTTCATTGTGGAGTGAGAACCCCCACCCACAATGTTTCAGATAAAATGTGATTACGTCTTAGGAGCACCTATATTTACAGCTCATACTCAATGCACTGAAAGACAGATGGACATAGATATTCAAAGCAAAACACATCAACTTGGTTACTTTTTTTAAAAAAAGGGAGAGGGAGCTGAGAGGGAGCTGCTCTCTGATTGGGGGCTGCATAATGACGCCATGTTGTGCAGTGGTGTGGAGTTGCAATCCATGAAGGATGGGGAAGCGCAACTGGGAGAGCTGGTGGAACTGGGAGTCATGGCATCAACACCAAATTGGAATGTGAGATCTTCTGCCACTGAAAACATTCTGCCACTGCTTACCTCAAGGCAACCCAAGGCTTCTGTACTCCCATTGTATTTTCAGAAAGAGAAATCACCCTCACATCTGGCTGCTCTTCTTCCTCAGCTTCCCGGCTGGCCTTTGCATTGGATGGATGGACATCATGGTGGATTACTACAAAATCCTGGATGTTCCCCAAAGTGCCTCTATGAGTGATATTAAAAGAGCGTAAGAGAAATCTTTCCTTGGAGTGCCCCTTTTCCTACAACCCTGTAATCTTAACCTTTCCTCATGTTGCTTCTCTGTCAACATTTACCAGCAGGGCCTGATATTAGTAAGTAACTTAATATCAGGAAAGGTGCAATAGTTTAGAAGCAGAGCACCTGCCTTGCGTTTAGAAGGCCCCATGTTTAATTCCTGGCATCTCCAGGTAGGGCTGGGCAAGAACTTGGTCTGAAACCCTCAAGAGTTTCTGTAGATAGATCATTGGTCCATCTGGCTCAGTATTTGACTCAGTATAAGGCAGGTTCCTATATTGTTAACTTGGTTTCCTCCGTGGACAATTGAGGCAGAAATCCAGTTGCAAGCTATTGCCTCATCATCACCATGATAAGTCATGGTCTGAGAAACTGTCCAGAATAATGGTACTGGAAGATGGTCACTAGCCTATTTGGGTGGTTCTCACCATTATCATGGTGGAGAGCATAGGTGGATAGTTCTAGGATGGATAGCCACTAATGTTTGTTGCATCTTGTGAACTGTGCAGGTACAGGAGTAAAGTGCTCAGGTGGCACCCAGATAAAAATCCAGATAACAGGGCAGAAGCTGAACAGAAGTTCAAGGAGGTTGTGGAAGCCTACAAAGTCCTTTCAGACAGTAAGTCACCCAGTTTCTCTTCAGTGCTCCTTTTCTTCCTCTCTCCAATAGAACATTCACAGTCACAACAGCTAATTTATTTTTGACTGATTAATCCCAAATAAAAACATAATGAACATGGATTAAACTTTGTCAGCTGCTCTAGAATGCAAATAAATGAACAAATAAAAATAGTAACACTCCATTCTTTAGGCAGCGACATAAGGTTGCATAAGTAATTCCAAACTTCCTTCATTCATCTTTTTGTTTGCACAGTCAGAATTGTTAACATATTTTCTTCCAATCCTTCAATGCACATACGAGACCATTCCCACATTTGACCTTTGTTTTCTTCCACTCCAGTTTAAGCTGCTTAATCTAATCTCCATTTATAATTATCTTTGGAAGGATGGAAGTTCAACCTTCTACCTTGCTGACAGAATGATTTTTTTTTCTAAAAAAAGGCTTGAATATGGAGAAACTAACTATGATTGGAGCTAAACTATACAAGAAATATGGATCTGCCACCATTCTGTCCTTCTTTATCTCCAATTCCTAGTAAGATATAGCATAATAATACAGTTTGGACTGTGGGTCAAATTAGACTCAGCAGGAGTCTCAATTTGGGTTGCAAGGCTGTTTTCCCCAAACAACACCCACCTGCTCTGCACCCGACATCATTTGGAACATCAGGTGTGGGGCACATAAATACGTGTTTGCAAAGAAACAATAAGGAGTTTTAAGCACACTCTTGATTGTTCCTTGGCAAGCGGAGCTCACTAACAGCAAGGACTTTTGAAGCTGGTGTGGTCTGGAGTCGAACTGCACTTGTAACTGGACATTTTTATTTTGTAGACCAGCTTTGCAAAGAGCTGCAGAGAAACAATATCCTTTTGCAGGCATGGTTTGCATCCAAACCATGCCTGCAAAAGGCCAACGTGGGGCTCACTGTCAATATAAATTAGTTGATCAGCACTAACAGCAGGCCCCTCTGAAGTTGTCGTCTGACATCATAATAAGGCAATTAACAATTGGGCAGCTCTGCCCACCTGTCAAAGTGGCCTGGAGGTGGCAGTGGAAGTCATGTTCTGGCCCAGCAGTTGGAAAAGATACCACACCCCATCATGTGCTGTGCATCTCCCCACTGTCAAACTGATATTACATTCTTCACATCCACTTCCCAGCCATGCTTCCCCCAGGGAGGTTCACCTGGCACCTTCATCGTATCTTTTGGCAACAGGCAAAAACATTCCTCTTCTCCCAGGTCTTTGTTTAATTCCCCAGTTATGGCCTTTTAAACTGTTTTTGTTTCTTACTATGTTATGTATTTTTGTAATGTAAACTGCCCTGTGAGCCTCGGATGAAGGGTTGCATAGAAATGGAGAGAACTGAGGTCCAGAGACAGCGGCTTGTCTAATAGTCACTGAGCTGGATTTATGGTTGTGATGTGGTTTGAACCAGGGACTTCTTGGTCTCTTTAACATGATGCAGAACAGCAGCAATAAAATTGAAAAACTCAAAGCTAGAGATGAAGAGGCAGCTTGAAATTTCCTTCCACTTTTACTTCTATTCCAGGAAGCACTCGTAACCAGTATGATGGGGGCAGCACAGAGACTTTCAAGGAAACAAGTGAGTAGTCCAGAGAAGAGGTCAAGGGCCTTGTCCCAACCTCTGATTAAGCCTAGTAACATCTCTTAGTGGGACTTACCAACCTGTCCACTTCAGTTCCTCTTGGATTCACATTTTTCCAGCCTTTCACCACATTTCCACAACATTTGCATTTTTTTCTTGAAGCCCACATATTTTTGCGTTCATTTTTCCTAAAGTGCATGATTTCTGTATGTGACATTGCATCCACTCTATCCAGTTTTTCAAGCAATTTCCTCTAGCATGATGCATTTTGGAACATGATTTTCATGAATATATGTACACTTTTTTTGGCTGGGAAATGGTGTTGCAAAATTCAGAGAGGTCTGACTTTTGAAAGACAGCTGTGTTTTGTTTTGTGTATTGGATATGCGAATCAGGTAGGTTTGCATTAAAATGGTAAGCAAACAAATTTCTCCCTCCGTTCCTAACAGGACATTAATGGTTCTGTTTAGCACTGGGCTCAGGAAAGCAACTGAACACTCTTTGCAGGTGTTTCATCCACTTTTTAAAAAGATTGCTCCAGCAATCTTTAAAAGGGTGGGAGAAACTGCTGCAAAGAGCATTCAGCCCTATCCTGTGCTCAGACAGGATTGTGAGGACCACAAAGGATTTCAATGGGTGTGTGGAGCAACCCACCTGTCACACATGTGATGCCCATAGTGGTGTTGTGACTGCCAGATGGATCATCTCACCACCTGCAGTGCCCAAAATGCTCCCCACCCCTATTTTACACATACCTCAAGAGGCTATGAATGGTTTTCAAAAGTCTTCTTCACCCATATGAGTTTAAAGAGATCCAGAATCTAATTCTGTTTCCTTACGCACAAAGAAGCATGCCGGCGGTTGAAAATAGCTACTATAATACATCTAGGTTGACTGTATCTAGGGGTTCCATGACTGCTGCAGCCTGGTAGATTGGAAAGCAACTTGGAGCAAATAACTAGTTCTGCCTCCAAGGAAAGATTCTTTTGCCTCCTTTCCTTAATCCTCCCATACACCCTGGAAGGAAAAGATGCAACAACTTTGGTGATGTTGTAACAGCTTATTTTTATTTTTCAAAACCATGCTATTTACATATCCCTTTCAAACAGCACAGCATTTGGAATTGTTTCCCTTTCTCTCTCCTTAGAGAGATCTGAGGATGAGAAGCACCTGTCTGTGTTTGATCATGATGGCATCAAAATATTCTTCACAAAACAACGTTCTTCTTCAGGTAATTTTTACATCCTTTCTGGAAAACTGCTTTGCTGTGAAGCCTGTTGGTTGCCACAGCTGTTAGCTTAGGACTGCTAATTCAAGTACCCAGGGCTTTTTTCCAGCTGGAACTTGCCGGAACTTGCTGGAACTCAGTTCTGGCACATCTCAGGTGGGCTCCATTACCATGATAAGAGAACAAGGGAGGCGATCATGGTGAGTTCTGGCACTTCTTTTTCTTGAAAAATAGCACTGCAGGTACCTATACCTGCAGGTACCTGCGGTGAGGCTTCTGTTTGTGGCACAGTATTCTGATAGAAAGAGAAATAAATAGCCAGGTTTTAAGGATTTAACCAAACTGAGAATACATACAGGCCAGGCATAAAGCTATGCTGTAGAAAGAGAGCAGAAGAGCAATGCCTATATGTATCCTAAGGAAAAGATTATTTGGAAGAGTGTGTTGATCATCATCATCTCTCTCTCTCTCTGTCCCTCGGCCTATTTCTGGTTTCAGTATTTCAGTCCCACTTGTCCTTCTGGTGCTTTGTGCCAAAATGGTGACTAAACAGCAGCATAAGACTTCTGCTGTTGTTACCAGCAACCCTTCCTCCCATTGCCAGTGTTATCAGAAAAATCACTAAAGCTGATGTAAAAGTCTGCTGGGGGGGAAGCTGCTGTGGAGGTGATTTGATCCTTAGGGAGCAAGTTCAATAGCTCCAGAGGTCCTTTTCAGTCTTATAACTAGTATCGCTGAGGTAATTGACAAGAGGAAGTGTAGCCAATATGATAACCTCCTGATGTTTTGGGAATCAAACCTGCATCACACCCAGGCAGCATTGCTATGATTAGAGCAGCTTCTGGAGGGCACTGAGTTAGCTACCCCTGACCAGAGCATCTGACAAGAGAGGATGAAAGATGAATTACAGTGTGCTTGTTTTGTGTGTGTGTGTGTGTGTAATTTGTGGCCTGGATGCACTTCATAATGAGTATGTGGCAACCTGTGTGTTTCAGATTTTTCTGTATCCTTCTTCAGCGCTCCTAAAAGGTTCCATCACTTTTCCATCGTGACTGCCTTCATGAATGGCAAAAAAATCACAACCAAAAGGTAAGGGGGGTGGGAGGGAGGGAACAGCTTTGTAGGAATCTTCTCCTTAAGTCTTGATTCTCCTGGCTGCATAACTCTGTGTGTTTGCAATGTGCAAGCATGTCCAAAAGCAAAATGCCTCTGAAATACCAGTTGCTGGGAATTACAGGTGTGCACTCATGTCCAGCTTGCAGGCTTCCCATGGACATTTGTTTGACCACTGTGAGAACAGGATGCTGGACAAGATGGGCCTGATCCAGCAGGCTTGTTTTATGTTCCTAACTCCTGGGTCCAGGATAATGTAACGTATCTGTGTTTATACTTTGTATGTTGCTTGGAGTCCTTAGGGTAGCAAGCAAGTAATGTGTCTGACTCTCTCAGGTGTACAGGATGTGAGAGGGTATCTGTACGTCTTTAGAGGAAAGAGGTATGTGAGTGAGTTTAACAGTCATATGTCTGCCTTACAGAATTTGTGAGGAAACTTTTATTAGATGAATATTTGAGACAACAGTGACTTGATGGGCAGATTCCTACACACATATACAGTGGTACCTCAGGTTACATACGCTTCAGGTTGCATACGCTTCAGGTTACAGACTCCGCTAGCCCAGAAATATTACTTCGGGTTAAGAACTTTGCTTCAGGATGAGAACAGAAATTGTGCAGCGGCTGCGCAGCGGCAGCAGGAGGCCCCATTAGCTAAAGTGGTGCTTCAGGTTAAGAACAGTTTCAGGTTAAGAACGGACCTCCAGAACGAATTAAGTTTTTAACCTGAGGTACCACTGTAGGAGCAAATAAAGTTCTCACATGCACATAAGGATCTATCCAAATGAGTGTTTGATCAAGGAGGCTATAATATGGAGGCTTCTCTTATTCCTAAAGCATCTGTCCCTTGTTTGGTCAGGTAACTATGTGACATTTCTCCCCTTCAGACATCTCGAGAATGAAAGCAAGTACTTGGAAGTAGAAGAGGACGGGAAGACGGTATCTATCCATGTTAATGGTAAATTTGAGTGGGCTGTATTATGCCTTGTGACAGGTGTTAAATGCTTACCTCAGTATGTATAGGGCACCTCCGAGGAGCCTAATTTTCAGAAAGCATGCTTTCTCTCTTGAAAATTGAGACACCCAGAAAATTCTGACTCAGAGGGTTTTTTGTTTCCTTTTGTTTGAAAACCACCTTATTCTCTCACAGCTCATTAGGCAAACAAAAAACAAAACAACAACCCAATAAGAAAACATGTTCTTTGTCCTGTGAATTATAGGTAAGGATGATTAGCTCTACAAGCAAACAAATGACTGAACAAATGAATGAATGAATGAATGAATAAAGGTGCAGGATATATGCCAAATACACTCAAATCTGGAATAAACAATGGAAAAGACAGAACAATTTCATTGATTAGCATATGTTGTATTGGTGTAATCTAGGGAATCTACAATATTCACAATATATTAATGCCTGGAATGGCAGGCAGGGGGTAGAGGGTAACATCCAGCTATTGCCAACAAAGTTCTATGTAGAGTAGACCTATTGAAATTAATGAGCCTAAGTTATGCATTTTCAGTAATTTCAGTGTGTCTACTCTGAGTATGACTAACACTGAATAAAACCCATTAGGTCATGATGATGATGATAGCAGCATTTATATATTGCCCATCTGACCAAGTCCTCTGGGCACTTAACAAAGACAATAAAATACAAAGTCCTGTTTACAAAAACAGAACAAAACAAAAAACACCTAAACCTAAACCTAAAAACCAAAAAATAAAAGCCCAGCAATGCCATCCCTAAAGCAGCACAAGATACAGCAGATAATAGAATTATAATGAGCACAACCAGCATAAACCAGGGGATGCTGGGTGCAAAAAATGAACCCTCTCTGGTTTATTCTAGTCTTGTTCTCACTTACTTGGCAAAATTATGCACCTTAGTCAATTCAGGCACTGTTCTCCATTACCTGTCTTATATCTCCTTCATTGTCTGCTTCTCTCTCCCCTGTTGAATGTGTGTGGTGCATTATTATCCTAACTTCCTTGAACATGATAATGACTGGCATGCAGTGCCTCTGTTCCACTCACGTAACAGACTTCTGCTTGGCACAAAGGAACTTCCTCCCCTGTATAGCTTTTACATACCCTTACAATTTGCCCCAGGGAATCCCTGGAAAGTCCTGTTGCATGAATGGAATTTTGCTTACACAGCATTGAATACAACCCAGTCTGTTTACTCTTTTTCTTGGGTATTTTCTTTGTGTGAGTACAATTGGTGTTCCTACTAAAGCCACCAAATGCAGACCACTGACCAAATTCTGGTGGGTCATCTGGTAGATGGTGGGATATTCAAGATCCCTTGCTGTATGCCTCAGACAACATAGGGACTTAGAGACCATATGGGGACCATAGGGACTGAGAGAGAACATGTGTGGCTGAATTCAGCATACCCTTAGTGCAAATAGGATATAAGGGTGACAAAAAGGATTGGATCTAGACTTAGTCATGCTTAGAGCAGACCCACAGAAATCTCATTGATTGTGACTATCAAGTTGCATTGATTTCTGTGGGTCTACTCTAAGCATGACTAAGTCTGAATGCAACAGAATGCAACAGAATAGTTAACATTATTGTCAGCGAGTCATAATAATTCTGGATGTTTACATGCTCTACAAATTTCATTCTATGGGAGAAACATAAACCATGCCCTGAAATCGTGTGATAATTTTTAATCATGCTGGACATGGAAAGAGTGTGTAAATGCAGATCCTAGGCTTATTTCTGTAGCTCCATCACTGGAACAGACCTCCAGTTGACCAATATATTCTGGCTCTTGCAGGCATACCTGTTTACGATAGAGAAATTAACGCAAACAACTGGGATTACAGGTTGGACAGGGGCTACTATTATCCAGAAAAGAATCGGTTTTGGACATGTGAAAGGCGTCGGTGGGCAGAAGACTGGCGGCGCTGGGCAAGCCAATGGCGAGACTGGGCAGAAGAGTGTCGAGACTGGGCTGAAGGAAAGCAACATGAGAAAGACAAGTGCTTTTCTGGGGCTAATGCTGGTCATCGCTGGGCAAAAGCAGCACAGGGTCCAAAGGCTAGTGAGGAACATCTCAGGTCAGACAGGGGTTGTCCTAGGCCAGGGGAAGGGAAATGTGATCTGAAAGAGGGGCATAAGACTAATAAGGGACTATCTCGCCCAGAAGTGGAACACTCCAAGTCAGATAAAGGGTATTTTGTGTTTCCCAAGCCAGGTGAGAATTCTGGACCAGATGAAGGGCATCTCAAGGCATACAAGAGGCAACAGAGAGTGGACGAGGGGCATCCCCCATCAGATAAGAACAGCCCAGGAGTTGTTAGGCTGGGGGAGGGACATACGGATCAGGACAAGGGGCATGCCACATGGAAAAAAGAGCAGCCTAGGCAGGACGAGGGGCAGTCCAGGCCAGATAAGGGGTCCCTCAGTCACATGAAACCAGACCCTGTGTATAATGAATCAGCTATGAAGCACAAGGTGGTTTCTGAACACAACCCTCAGGCTGGGAATAGGGAGCCTCATGCTGGGAAACAGAAGCAACCGGCAGAAAGATGCAACCCACGTGCTGTGAAAAGCGAAAAGCTGCTCAGAAAGAATGAGCCGAAGGATGACAAGCCAGAGTCCAAAGGTGAGAAGAACAGGCTTACTTTAGAGTCTGAACCTGGGAAGGGAACAGAATTCAGTGGTATGAAGGGAAAGGCTTGTGCTGATACTAAAGTGGCTCCTCAAACACATCTGACTTCCTCTGGTGGCAAAGTGCTGCCGCTGAAAAGGAAAGAGCCCCAGATTCGGGTAAGAAAGCCGTATGGCAAGAGGAGCAGGTCTCAAGCTGGAAGGAGGTCATCGCACGGTGGTAGGAGCAAGTCCCGGGCAGGGAAGAATAGGGTGCCTGATGGACAAAGTAAGGCAGAGCCTGGGGGGAGCAGCTCATCTAAAAGACTCGATGAAGAACAGCCTGAGGGGAATGACATAGCTAAAGAACCCGGTAAAGGAAAGCCTGAGAGGAACGACTCAGTTGAAGGATGCAGTTTAGGAGAGCCTGAGGGGAATGGCTCAGCCAATGGAAGCAGGGAGGTGCCTCCTGAGGGGAAGCAGACACAGGCAGATTCTAAGGGTGCACTGCAAGGTCGGAAAAAGGGACCTCTATCAGCTCTCCTGGGGGGTGACATTTCTCTCCCAACAAAACACAGACTGCTCAGAAGAACAGCACAATCTCGCCTCTTATCTGAAGTCCAGGGTGAAAAGCATCAGTACGTATCTGAAACGAGCCAGGTCATCAGCATGAATGACCAACGGAGAAGGAGACTGACTAAACTCCCTCAGTCTAGTACACAGCTTCCAAGTATTGAAGGCCAGAAACTTGGAGCGAATCAGTTCCCAAATGTGACTCATTGACCACGGATATGTTCAAGCTAGCTGGCTCACATTTAAGCTCACCGTCTTGCTCACTGATTTGTGATCACCTCTGACTTCTGTGTTCACACCAGGCAGTGCAGGACCCCACATTTGCTGGGCTGCAATAGGAAGGAGAGTTTCCAGAGATTGTGGTCTGTAAGGGAGGTGTGTTTTTCAATAAAGGCAGTAGTGTAACTCTCACAATTTCTTGGTATGTGCTTATTATTTGGTAAAAAACAGGATATATATTCGGGAGATGCTGAGCCAACTCTAGATTTCTACATTCCACATGAACTTGATTTTCCCCATTATCAGATTTGGGTTTGCTGAGCATCTGCTCACTTTTAATTCACCAGTGTGTTTCCATCTATGCTTGTAGATTACAGGATAGGCAAGTACACACAGATGGGCCTTGTAAGTTGCAATTTGGGACCTGATATTGCCTAGGCTTTCTTAACCATGGAGGAAACACACATCATTTCCAGCCCTACCCCATAAAAGGGGGGGGGGGCTGAGGTCCAGCTCCAAAGGCCTTCTAGTGGATCCCTCACTGAGAAGGCACAGGGCCTTCTCAGTAGTGGTGCCCGCCCTGTGGAACGCCCTCTCACCAGATGTCAAAAAGATAAATAACTATATGACTTTTGGAATACGTCTGAAGGCAGTCCTCTATAGGGAAGTTTTTTTTAATATTTGATGTTTTATTGTGTTTTTATATTTGGCTGGGGCAACCCAGTCAGATGGGCAGCATATAAGTGCTACTACTACTAGTAGTAGTAGTGCTATTAATTATGTTGAGGGCCATGTTCCCTCAGGGATAATCCATTGGAGGCCACATGCAGCCAGTGGGCTGGACCATCGTCAAAGGGAGCCACTGTAACAACTTATCTGCTACAATTGTATTAGGCAGAGCCCAAAGTGTGCATGTACGCTGCCTTGGTTGGGTTCCATGAAAGAAGAAGGGTGGTGGAGGAAGAAAATGAAATAAAATGAACAAAGTAGGCAAAGGAAGAACCAAATCTCTCTCTCTCTCTCTCTCTCCATTAACATAGGCCAGAACGGATTGCTTGTAAATGGTTTCTTCCCTTCCATTGCTTCATCCCTTTTGACTCTGTGTAATTTTCTTCTCCCTTACCTGCCCTTCTTTGCTTTCTCTGGGCCCCACAATGCTCCATGGCTTTCAGCAACACATGAGACAGCAGTGCTAGCATTATAACCAGTAAAACTAACACAATAAACCCCACATCTCAGTACAGCCATAGATGCTGCCTTTACCTGATGCAATATTAGCATCTCAGGGGAAATACACAAAGGTAGCCATTGTAACAATTTCTCTGTGACATTTGTGTTAGGCAAATGTGAATGCGATTCCTCTGGTGTTGTTGTTCCCATGTCATGTTATATTAAATTTGACATGGCGCAGATCCTTAAAACATTAATTCCCATCTTCCGGTGATAAGATACACCGTAGCAATCCTATCATGTTCTATAATTTATTTTGAGGCAGTTCACAAGCATCTTTTAATGATTTGTTTATCTCCTCTGAAATGATTAACACATCACTCTTCAAAGGTCCTTATTAGATAAGTAACATGCCACCGGGGCTTAATAACTGAGCTATTGGGCATGAAATTAGGAGACGGACAAAACTCAGGTTCTGGATGAAGCTGAAAATGTATTTTTACGCTGTCAATTATGAAGTGATTCTGGGCTTCAGCATCTGCAGCATCACTTTGAGCAATAGCTGGGCTATTGTTGCAGGGAATCTAAATATCATCCCTCAAAAGCACTTACACTGTGGATACATTTTCATTCCTCAGCACCAAAATTACAATATTTTGTCTCTGCAAACATGGTAATTTCTCCTGTGGGTAGTACCCTTACCATGATAGTTTGCATAGTCTGGACTAGTTGTACAAATGTCAAGACAAACGATAGGCTTGACTTCATGACTATTTTAGTACTGTGACAAACAGTATAACTTCCTTTCTATGTGCAGTGACTGCACCATTTTGTAACTTTAAAATGTGTGCACATGCATGCATGGATCAAACAACTGATCTAGTTTATTCAGATGGGAGCCTCATTTTGTTCAATAGGACTTTCTTCCCAGTGTGTTGTGGAGTGCAGTCTTTCAGTGCAATCCCATACAGTACATGTCTTTTACTTCAATAGGGCAGATAAGTGTGCATATGATTGCAGCCTTTGTTCATACTGTAACCTCTTAAAAATTGTAGTTCTCATTTTTTTCATGGATGGTGAAATTCTTCATGAATAGTGTTATTGACCTTCCTTGGAAATGTAAATCATTATAGTGCAGTTGTTTATTGATTGTACCAAGGTGTGGTTTTATTTTAAAATGCCTTGCGCTCCAAAATGGTTTAAAATGTGTGCAGTATTACTAAATCAAAGAGCAGATAAAAGGGAAAACAAATTGAGAAGATGGAAACATGTGCTGTTCTAATACGTGAACTTTCAAGAAATATTCAAAGGACAATAGTTTGAACACTCCAAATTGATTTTGTGTTTTAAGGTCAGAAGCAGGCCTGACTGTTTTGTAAATCACATGGCTTGTGGGGGAGTCTTTTTGAACTTACAGTTTTATTGATTTTTTTTTCCTGGGGTGGGGAGCATGTTTACCAATAGGAAAGGAATGTTATGACCATAATAATGATAATGGATTGTATCCAGCTAAGTCAGACTCAGTGGAAACGCATTGGCAATGTCCTACTTAATTGCATTGATTTCAATGGGTCTACTCTATAACTTAGCTGAATACAAACCCCAGTGCAGTTAAAGGTTCGGTATCTTCTGTCTGTGTTTATTACAGACGCTTAGTTTAACATCTGAAACCCTAAGCTTCATGCTTTATGCGGTGTTATTAGTTGATGCTGTCAAGATTTGTCTGTGTGGGCATGTGACAGGGAGCTACAGCGATGGTGCTTTAGTGTTGCTGATTCTGGGCAGGGGAAAGTAGAGCATGAGTGAAAGGGCTAGTGATAATTTGGGACAGAGGCCTAAATGTGTGGTCCCATGCCCTAACTGTAGGGGAACATGATGGGCTCCCCCCCCCCCCCCGTAAAAAAGGAGTGGCGGCAAAACTAGGCCTTCTGGAGTTGGGGCCCTGATGGAATTGTTATGGGAGAGTGGTTCCTGTGTGCAATAAATTGGTCACTTGCATGCCTTGGATGGAGATATACTCTCTGAAGAAGCAGATTCACAGTTTGGGCATGCTTTGGGATCCAGCTTTGTCACCAGAGGCTCAGATGGCCTCAGTGGCTAGGACCACCTTTTACCATTCTTGGCTGGTGTGCCAGCTGCAACTGTTCTGGAACCAGGATAGCTTGACTGCAATACTCCAGGCACTGACAACTTCAAGGCTGGGTTACTTCAATGCACTCTATGTAGTTACTATGATGCACTGCTTGTGATTGGTCTGGAAAATACAGTGCAGAACAATGCAGCATGAATGTTCACAGGACTGAGACTCTGTCCACACATATATCACATCCCTGCTCAAGAGATCTGCACAGGCTGCCAGTTTGTTACCAGGCCAGATTCAAGATATTTGTATGTAAGGCTCTCAATAGCTTTAGGAACCACTCTGCTGCTAGGCTATTGAACAGAATAGTAACCACAAAAAGTGGCCTTTTCCTGACAGAAATGATTGTGTGTATCCACCCAAATAGTGGAAAACCCATTACAGAATTAGAGAGATTGACCTTGCCAATTATTAAAGAAGTTGTAAGAAGCTGGTATTTTCCCTGTAGATGCATTAAATTAAAATAAGATCTCAATGGCTTGTGAGCAAATAATCTTTTTCCAAAACATCTGGTTTGAAGGTTGCAACCACCATTTAACCCTGTGAATTATGGGAAATTTTAGCTACTTGCCACATCAGCAAGACAGGTTTTCTACCTCCTGCCCTTGCCTGGAGATTTCCTGGCAGTTACTGTAGTATAGATAGCACTGGGTTAGATGGGCCAAGAGTCTTCCTCAGGATAAGAAAGCATCATAGCGGTATTGATTTCATTTCACCCCAAACCTCAAAAAACAGCCTTAGACAAACTGCAATCTCACAGCCATCTGGCATATGGGCTCAAAGCACTCCACTTATATTATGAAACATGTTTTCTACTTGGTATGGACAAAGGTCCTGAAATATGAATACTCTACAACAATTATGAACAATGGCAAGCCTATCTAGGGTGCAGAAACAGGAATAAAAGCCAGCCTGTTTAGACTGAAAGAAGCTTGTCTCCTCTTCTGAAGTTAAGAACTGTCACATGGAGCCATTAAATGTTTTGAATATAAGCTGGTGTAAAATGGCATAACCCTGTCCAAGCCAAGGAGACTGTGTCAATTTATGCCAGGCAGTGAGTTGGGCCTAATTCATCTGGAGCGAGCATCCTGTTTCCACAATAACATACACACACAAAAAAGCCCTTTAAAAACCACCACTGCTGTAACAAATGGCGATTTCTGAAGTGCAACCCTCAAAAGTATGTCAAGCCTCTTTTTAAATCAATGGGCTACATTTACACACAAATGCGGACTGTCTATGCGAGCTTTTTAATTTGGCCAGACTGGGAATAAGTAACTTTAAGTTAACAAGTTAATCTTGTTGACCAAAAAAAAGTTTAGCTGCGGGGAGGAAGTTTGCTTGTATTTTAGAGGTGGCTAAGGGAGCTAAGACAGTAAAGTGAAATATTAACAAGACTTGGCACAGAGTCGCTCAGGACGTCTTAGAGAAAGTCTTCCTCTGCCAGTGCACAGCTGGATTTGCAGAGTGCAGAGGAAAAGGCAGAAATGGCTGAGGAGGAAAGCGGCGCAAAAGGAGGAAAAGAGAAGCAAAGAGGTCAGTGGCTATTTGATGCTTCCCCACCCCTAGTCCTTCTAAAGTAAAGTGACTCTGCCCATCATTCAGAGCTTCTTGTACACTTTGGGGGGTACAGATGGCGCTTCAGTGCAAAGAAGCTTGCTCACAGACTCTGAAAGACTGAGCAGTTACACAGCTGCTGGAATGCCCTTTTCTGCACTGCGACTAAACGCACAGGAGTCCTGTCCTCTTTTGCTACCCTAGTAGAGTTGTCCTCATCTACTCTAAGCCATCTCTAGGAGAGTTGCCCTTTTCCACTAGAACTTCTCTGTCTGCAAAG